GATAGATTGATCGCTGTCCCTGCCTCATTCCCCAGCTTCTGTGTCACACCCTGCTGTCTGGGCACCAACCCCCCTGGCTTTCTCTTACTTACTCTCATTACCGCAGGGCCTTTGCATCAGCTTTTTTTTTTCTGGACAAGTTCCCCTCTTGTCAGTACTTCCCAAGGTTGCTCCTTTAACTATCAACTAATGCAATTTTATCAGTCCTTGAAGATACCCACTCCCCTTCTCCTGTCTGGGCTTGGACTCACCTCTTACCACTTGTCCCACTTTCTGGGCTGCTTCTGCTGTCGTTTAGTTGCCAGGACCTGTTTTTCCCACCAGCTGTACCCTCCCTGAAGCCAAGATCTATGCTTGATTCACTAAACTTTTCTTCTCTGGTCATAAGTTGATAAATATTTGAAGAAAAAATGCCAGTGTTAGATAAGCTTATGTTTCTCGACTGCCAGACTAGAATGTTACCCTTTAACCAAGGGCCCTAAGCATCCCCTTGTGGACACCTTCATTTTGGGTGGTCTGGGGGTGAGGGGGAAGGGTCCCACCATCAAGATCCAATCATAGTGGTCTTTTCTCATTTTGTAGTGTTAAAAATGGGTTGGGAATAGCGGAAGTACGGAGCAAGCAGTAGTATCCGTGCCGTCCATTTTTATTTAACTTTTGGCACCTACTGCTGTTTACTTAGATTTTGGTATGAACATTTGCTCTAGCCCAGCACCAGATAGACATGTTGAGTCCAATTTATAAACAGTGGGTGGATGTCCTGCAAACATTGCCATGAACGCCAGGTACTCAGTTATCCCTTCGAGCTCAGGAGAAAACCAATTCCTTATCTGCTGTGTGACTCCCACCTGTTCCCTCCCCCTGCGCACAGCCTGGGGTAGCATTACATTTGGGGGAGCCTCAGACACAGGGGAAGTCTGTAAAAGCTATGGCTTGTCTCCCTAGGATACTAACCTTAATAAACAACGCTTATGCAGTTATACAATGTCATCTTTATGCTGTAATGTCATATAGCAGTGACTGTTGTAAGCATCCTCGTTTGTCAATCCTGTGATCTCCCAGCAGACCCGTGAAGCTACTGTTGTAGCATTCCAGTTTTAAAGAATGGGAACTAGAGCACCAAGAAATGTAATGCCTTTTCTACAAGGGGAGTGTGACAGGTGGTAGTAGTCAAATTCAGACTCAACTGGCTCCAGAGTCTGGCTCTGTCTCTGTGCCTGGGCTCTGCATTTTACTTCCTGTCTCAGAAGGGCGTAGACCCAGAGCCCGTGGGTGGCTCCTGCTGTGGACTATGAACTCTAGGTTCAGAAACTCCAGATTTGAAGCCTCCGCTCCTTCTGTTCCCTTTGTCTTTCTGCTGTGATTCCATCCCAGTCCACAGTAGTGGTTCAACAACTAGAGGGCCTGTTCTACACTCCCATGTACCTTTCCTGTTTACCCCCCTTTCCTATCAGTCTCTATCCGTTAGCTATTATGTGCTACCTTCGTGTCACCTAATCCGATTCAACTTACTTCTGTTGTTTTAAAGTTGAAATTAAAATTCATTACTCCCAGCATGGAGCCCAACTCAGGGCTTGAACTCACAACCCTGAGACTAAGACGTGAGCTGAGATCAGAAGTCAGACATTCAACTGACTGAGCCACCCAGGCGCCCCTTTATTATTATCACAGTAGTATCTACTTACTGTTTTTCTTTCAACTGGCTCTCTTTATTTTAATTACAGAAATTGATTATAAAGGTAAACTGGGTACCAACACCTTAATGGGAAGACCTGTACTATTTGACTTGGAGAGGCTAATACAGGCATATATGCCTGTGAACTGTGAATATAAATCAAATTACCAAATTTACTAAATTGAGCATAATACTTACTTTTGGGTACAAAGGGGAAATGAGTGAGTATCAGGGAAGTATGGAGAGCAGATCAGCACCACATTGATATTTTTTTCCCCTTGATGTGAACAAAGCATAGAAACAATCAAGAAGAGAAAATACGTTTTTTTACTCTGTGTTGTAATGAATTCAGAGCATCTCTTCAGCACTTACAATCTCTGTCAAGTCTTGCTGTGGTCCCTGTCCTAGGACACTTCATTTTGTGAGGAAGTCAGTATTGCTTTAAAATGGAACTTGAGGGGTACCTGGGTGGCTCAGTCAGTTAAGCGTCTGCCTTCAGCTTGTGTCATGATCTCAGGGTCCTGGGATAGAGCCCCAAGTCTGTCAGGTTTCCCACTTGGCAGGAGTCTGCTCCTCCCTGTGTCCTCCCCCAAGCCCTCCCCCTGCTTGTGTGCGCTCGCTCTCTCTCTCTTTCTCTCATATAAATAAATATATATTTTTTTTAAATGGAACTCTATCTGAAAAAGGAGAGTCACACCTTTGTGGGCCCCCTCTTTGTGGTACGTGAGCTCTGTCCATACCTCCACAGAGGAGTCTGACAGGAATCTCCCTGAATGTGTACTTGTTGGCTTTCTGGCTGGTTGGTTAAGGCCTTTCCCTGTGTGATTTCCTTCAGGCATCAAAATAGCCTTGCCCCGTTGACCCTTTTAGTGCCATGGGAACAGTGGTGGAGACTAAGGCACGAAGAAGTCAGGTAACTTGGCCCAAGGTCATCTGCTCTAAAGTAAGCAGAACTGGATTCTGACCCAGGTCTGTCCATCTTCTGAGCTCTTGGCTCTTAATATATTTTGTGTTCTGTAGGAAGTATCTTGATTTTGTTTTCAAACAGCTCTGTGTCCTCAGTGGTCATCAGAAAATGGTTACGTGATCGTGGAGAAAGTTCTCCCTTTGCAGTTTTATAGGTAAACAAAAATAGAAGCCGCATTGAGGAGGGGGAGTAGGAACACGGAGCGTGCTGTGTGCTCTAGTGAGGAAAACAGTAAAATGAAAAATGAGATTAATGTTTCAGATTGTACAGTTCCCTAATTATGCTTTTAATTATTCATATAAAACAAGTAAAATGACCCCTGACAGAGACATAAATGATTTAGGTAAAATCAAATATTTATAAGATGCTGCTGAGTCCCTGGGTATATTGTAACAGATGCACTCAAAATGCTTTGCCTTCATCCTTTGGATGCAAAATGTTACGTATAGAATTTATAACAGGATGATAGTAATCAAAAGTATCTAAGACACTACTGACCTAATTCATCGGTATTTTGGCTTTAGAACTAAAGGCGTGTGATTGGTTTACTGTGTTTTATCTTATAAAATAGCATGCTGTGTTTTAGGGATCACCAAATGACAACCCCTGCTTGTTTCTGCATTCTTAATGGTGGGGAAAAAAAAATCAAAGGGAGAATAAGATTCCATGACACATGAAAATTATATCCATATTTTAGTTTGGATAAAGTTTTATTGGAACATTCATTTACATGTTGTGCTTGGCTGCCTCTGTGCTACAAGGACTAGGTTGGGTTGTTGCGACTGGGATCTCATGGCCCACAGAGACGATCTTGCCCTTGAGAACATTTGCCAACCCCTGTTAAATGTGCCTAGCACACAACACAGGTAAAACAGCCATCGCGTGTTTAATCTGCGCAAGAAACACTTGCTTTGACTTCATTTCATCTCTTAATTTGCTGTCCCACTAATTGAACATTCACTGTATATTTTTTCAGAAATTGGAGAAAAACTGTCTTTTGAATGCAATAAAAAGGGATTTATACAAGCAGGGTTCCTTTACTTGCTTTTAATGCTTCCTTTATATAGAGAAGTACTGAAACTAATTGCATTGTTTTAGAGATGGGTCATTAGCCTTGTCCCAATCTTTTACAGAGACCTAATTTTCATGCAGGATTTCTCACTAAAGCTCTAACTGGGATCTCTTTAGGAAGAAGAGACAGTGATGATACAAGAGCTTTTCTGCGGTTTACAAATTTGGCTGTTGATCACAGACCATGAAGTATATTGGTTGACATCTTACCCATATTTAGCAGCCAGTGAGTGTTTGTTGAATGAATGCATGAATTCACTTTAGAAAACAAACCAACAAAGGGAGTGTATCACTTACAAAAGAAAATCTGTTTGTTAATGCATCTGGATACTACATTCCTTTTGGGAAAATAATTGTTATGCCAGTATAAATCCAAGATATTTATTCTCAATTTCTCTTTCCTGTGTTTCAGGAGGGGGATCCTTTTGAAAGTTAGGGTTTAAATTGACGAAGGTTCCCTATGTTTTGGAATTCTCAGGTGTTCTTTTGGATGGGTTAAGTAAAATTTTCCTACATGTGAAATAATTTTTTTAAAAAAAGCATTACATGAAATCTAGTTATCTGCAGTTATTTATCATGTATAAAATTTTGCTAGCATTTTCCTGGGCACTGTTTTCAATACCATGTTTTCATGGTATTCAGTATTTCAAAATTTCAGGGTATTCAGTACCACTGTTTTCAAATACCATGAATGCAACCCCCACCTTTGCCATATGTCCACTAATACTGCCTTAAAATTGAAAGAACCTGCAAATTTTATTTCCTGATATCTTTGTCTAAGCTTTCTAATCAAAGAAACCTGCCTCTCACATCTGGTTTATCATATGTTTTTCCCACCTCATTCCAGACCTCGAACCCAGGGGTAGCCCCAGGAGTCAGTGCTTACACAAAGAAAAATCCTCCCTCTCTAGATAGTTTTGGTCATTGAGTGGACTAAGGAGACCCTGATTCAGAGCATCTTAGTCTGTGACTGTCAACATTTTTTTTCTTCTTCTTCTTCTTCTTCCTTTTTTTCCCCCCATCTATGAAATGGATAAGAAATTCTGAGATCATTCCCTGGGAGTTTTCATGATTTAGAGTGAACCAGAGCTTGAGAACATTCTGCAGCTTGATTCTGCTAATTAATTCGAACTAGTGTTTTTGACTTGTTTTTCCAACAGGAACGTGAGGAAATAATTCACAACATGTAATCCTGAACTTTACTGGAAGCAGTGGAGGAAGTCATTCAAGTTTTTGTTTTTTTTTTTGAGATTCACTTTGTTCCCCTTCCCTTCCATATTTTTGCAGTTGCCATCCTTCTGAAGGACGACTATTTTGTAAGTGGTGCTGGCCTGCCTGGCAGATTCAAAGCCGAGAAAGTGGAATTTCACTGGGGACACAGCAATGGCTCTGCGGGCTCAGAACACAGCATCAACGGGAGGCGCTTTCCTGTCGAGGTGAGAAGGCATCGAGATGTCAAGTGTAGCCCCACTTTGGGTCCTCATATTCGTCAGATGCTTTGTCTTTACCCCCAGTGACTTTGCGAATGAAACTCATACTGTCCATACCTTTGTCTCTGGAAACTGTTTATATACAGCGTGACAGGTGTACATTCCTCCTCAAGCTTCTCACCTTTGTTTGACTGGAGAAGTGTGGTGAAGTCAGGGGCCTCGTGGTTTTGAGTAGACTCACCCCTGGCCAACGATTTTCAACCATTTGTTTCATCTGGCACAATTTCTTTACTCTGTTTTTCTGAAGTCCCACTTTCTAAGAGTGAAATTCTGTATGAAACTCAGGTGGCTGTTTTCGTCCTTTAGAAAAGAGAAAAGTTAGTTGATACATGAAGAGGCATCTCAGAACCTTCTCTTGGTGGGGAAGCTGTTACAAGGTTTGTTTGCTCCCTCCAGCTGTCGAGAAAGAGGCTGTGGCCATTGGTGGTATGACTCTCAGTTAACATTGCTGGGATCAATGGTGACATTTTGCCTTTCCTGTGTCAGTTTTCTCAAACATCCTTGCTGCTAGACAGAAGAAAGGTGTGGGTACAAGAGACGGTTTGTATCTTTTTGGTGAGGAAGTGAGGGAGAGAGCAAGACTCCAGATTCCTTCATTAGTGTTGGTTGGGGCAGTGCACCTTTTCCATTGCTAACCTTGTTTTTACCTTTCACTATCATCAGGATGGGGATATTCTTTTGTTGGAGCACATGACTTTGTTAGGTTTGGTTCTTTTATGTGGTGAGCTTTACACATTTGAGGAAGAACTGAATGGATGTGCCTTCAAGTCTATGATTGGACTCAAACATGGAACAGCAACTCTTAGTGTGTTATAACTTCTAGTAAGTCATGACCTACTTTGATTATCTGAGGAATACTTGAGATCCCCTCTATATAGGGAAAGTACACGGATGTACACACAGATTTGCACGTAGTTTATAGGGCTTCGTCATTCACCCTAGTTCCTCAAGCCTGTTTATGGACCATTTAGGTATCCTTGAAGCATAAGTGAAGAATCCTCACAAGATGAGAAAATCAGTAGTATTTCTTTGTCTAGAGATGACTTTACTCACGTATAAATTTGTTTCTTATCTGTGATTGATGGAGAAAGCAGAGATAACTATTCTGAGAAAATGCTTCACATTTTTTTCTCCTTCAACTGACAATTTCCCGGTATTAAGATTCTTCTGTCTGTGGGACTTCTTGTACTAGTTACACTAGTTAAAGGTCTCCTGAGAAGGGTTTTTGCTAATGGGCTCTCATCCTCCTTTTGTATTAAATGAATCACTTCTTAGAAATCTTAGCTTTATTGGTACTTGGAAAACTTGATTCCTAGAAGCAAAATTATATCATCTTTTTAAAAGTTTCGGGTTTCCCTCAGTTCTTTCTGACCAGTTCCCATTGGCAGTGCGAGTTGAAGGAACAGTTGGCGTCCAGCTAGTTTTTCTCAAAAGCCTCTTTATCTCAGAATCAGGCTGCTATTTGTTCATCTAGTGTTGTCCAAACAAAAGACCTGTGCTTTGAAAGATTGAAAACTTGTTTTGGCAGTTGCCTTGGTAAAGAAGAGCTCTAGAGATGGGAACTGGGAACTTCTCTATCATTCTTAATTATATCCCTTAATGTGGTGAAGGGCCTGTCTCCTTCTCTTATTTCATTCATATTTGGAAAAATGCATAGACTAGATGCATATTCTTTTAAAAAGTTACTACCTTAAGTGATTATTTCAGTTTTCTTTTACTCAAAGAGTGCCCTGAAATTCAGAAGCTATTTCGAAATGGCAGCTATAATGCACAGACTTATTGTTCTGCTAAGTTGTTTGAATTTATTTCTTTCAAGTAATGTCAGATGGTAAGGCTGCTTGTATTAATTGGGTTCCTCATCGAGGCCCATCTGGTTTGTAGCTTTTTTTTTTTTTTTTTTTAATGTGATAAATATGTTAAATTACTTACTGGGTGTATTTGAGGAACTTGGAATTTCAGAGGCCAAAGGTAACGGGATCAAATTTAACTTGAAAATATACAAGGAAAAGTTGCTCACTTTTGCCCAGAACATGTCTGTAATATTTTGTGTTCAGTTGCTTTTTTTGGAGCTCTTTATCAACAGGAACTCTCCCTGGTGGTCTTACAGTTTGAACATCTCAGACTTGGTTTATTTCATTCTGTATAACTATGTTGCTTTCTAAGAAATTAAAATGAAAGTAAGAAGGGGCGCCTGGGTGGTTCAGTCAGTCGAACCTCTTACTCTTGATTTGGGCCCAGGTTATGATCTCAGGGTCATGGGATCAAGCCCCGAGTCAGGCTCCATGCTGAACACAGAGTCTGCTTGAGATTCTTTCTCTGCCTTCTCCCGCTACCCCTCCCCCAGCTCATGCTCACTGTCTTTAGGTCTCTTTCTCTCTCTCTGTAAAAAATAAAATAAACCTCTTTAAAGAATGAAAGTAAAAAAAAATTGTTATATATCATGGAGTCATTTATCAGCATCGGGGACACTACTTTTCTGTCTTATATACAGAGTCAGAGAAGAGTCATGGTTGAAGATTGCACTGAGATTGGCAGAGCACAGCACTGGTTCTCAACTAGAGACCGCGTGCTCCACCCATGGGGACATGATGCATTTTCGGGGGCCATGTTTGGTTGTCACTCTCAGGGGGCAGTGGTATGCTCCTAGAATCTAGTGAGTAGAGATGCAGTTAAACCTTCTGGGATGTGGGTAAACCTCCAGTTCATAAGGCAGCCCCCAGACAAAGAATTATCCCACCCAGAATGTCACTGCTGTGAGACTTTGGAGCAGAGAACGTGTATGTTTCCTTGGAATCGAGCCTTCCTTTACCTGTGTGGCATCACTTTGAGTATGTTTGAATCCTTGGATCTCCCTGCTTGAGAGGTTGTTCCATCTTCTTGTGGATTTCAGAGAGGAAATGTGCCTGGCCTAATGGGTGAGAACATTGCTAGTCCTTGTTCCTTGAGGTTCTACTTGAGGTTAAGTCGTGACCTTGGGTATGGACTTCAGCAGGCCTCAGTGCTCCAGCTCTGCAAGCTGAATTATAGGCACAGCCCCGCAAGAATCTGGTCCTGCTCCCCGAGGGTCAGCGGCAACAAGCCTAACGTGTTCAGTTTTGCTGCTTCCTGTGAATTCCCTGAGGTCACCTATAACATCCTATCACATCCAGAGATCCGACCTCCCCACACTTTCCTTGCTGGGATCCTGGACTTGTTCTTGGAGTTCTTACACTTAAAAACATCCTGTCTAATAGAAAAATAAGAGCCCTTCAATAACTGGCTTTCTTTACAGCTCAGTTTAAGTTACGAAACACTCAATCAAATTACAATGCCGTGCCTAGGCGTGTAGACCCAATTTGGATCCTCAGATGCCCTCCCCTCCTATTATGCGGCTTTAGTTCTAGCCGAGCAACAAATGTTTCTTGAGTACCTACTGTCATGTAGGCTCTGGGTTATAAAAGAACCAGAAAGGCAGTACCTTTAAGGTATTTGCACTCTGGTAATGAAACAGAAATTGAGCAAGCAGTCACATACATACAGTTGTGTTATATCGGTTATGATATGGTCTCTGAAGAGGAAGGGTGTTTTGTAATGAGATTTGGAAGACTTATAGACAGGCATTTATTAAGCTGTATTTATTAATTGATATTTATTAAGATGGAAGACATGAGTTGGAGCCTGCTCATAGAACAGGGACATGCAAAGGCCCTGAGGTGGGAGATACTTGGTAAGTTGAAATGAGTAAAGGATCACTGGGGGTTTTGATAGGCAGGATAGTGGCCCTCCAAAATGTCCACTCACTCATCCCTGAATCCTGTGAATATATATATTGCTTTACATGGCAAAACGGGTTTTTTAGATATGATTAAGTAACCATAAAGTGAAAAGGGTCAGAACATGCCAGTGATTGTAACAGTGGTAGGTCCTATTCCTGTTCTTCCATGGCCATTTGACTTTGTATTACCTCTATGACCACAGTTGTGTATGGCAGCTTCTACTGTATCCTAAGTTTTCTCTCTGCCCCCGCCCATTCCCTGTTCTGTGATTGGTAACCTAAACAAAGGTTTGTGTAACACTAATAGGATTGAATCATGCGGTGTTTTCACTACTAACTGAAGCTGGAGTTAATGCAAAGAGAAATCTCCGGATGAAACCTCCAATAGCTCCATTAAAGTGGAGGTTCATTGCATACTTGTTGTCTGAGGTAATTAAAATCCTGTTTATTACAATAAGAGATCGCAGGAGTTGTTGATCAGACTTACTGCTACTTTATGAGTTGAAGTCTTCAATAAGCTTAAATGATCCAACTGATTGTGTGTGCCCTTTCCAGTGAAACTCACAGCTGGTTCATTTCAGCTCTGCTTAGAGCATCCTAGCAAGTGAAAAGAAGCAAAGGCAATTTTCCTAATAATACACCATGTACACAGTACCATATGGTACAACACTGCAGTCCCTTAGCTGACACTCATGAGGCCAGAAGTTTCAGAATTCAGTATTTTTTCCGGAAAGGTATTATGGTGCATATGCTGTACGTATTACTGAAGACACGTAGTGGGGTCTGGCACTCTACTCCTTGGACGCATCAATAATTCTGCAACACGCAGATGAATATTCACACTAAGTGGGGAATCTCAGTATTCTAAATACTTCCCATCAGGTTTTACCACCAAATTAGTTTTCGTCCTCAAATCATAAATAACAATAATAACAAAACACTTTTGGTCTTAGAAGCTTTTGAGATTTCATCATCACTGATGAAGAATTTATGGATCTGTGTTGTAAAAACTGGATCCGTAGCGTGGCTCCCCTGGTTTAGGTTCCTAAGAACATGGGTTAGTGGCAACCATGACACAAACACATTGGATTATTTGTCTCCCCAGTGGGCCCAGCGGGTGCAGGAACTATCCGGTGGTGGTGTACGGCCTTCTTAGAGTTAATTTTTATTCGGGGAGGTAAGCACATACTTG